AGTGCCGCAGCAAAAATCGATTCTCAGATACTAAACAATATTAAAAATTAGTATCTGATTAGATACTCATCTTCACCATTATTGATACCAACAGTGCGGTTTTTGCCTCATTCGCCACACTTCACACAGCACCACTACAGCGCAGGCGTGCATGCATGCACGCACATGCACACACTCGCGCAGCCCCTCCCCTCAATAGCTGCTGAATGCATTCGCGCTGGTTAACACACATATACTGAGTTGGATGAACATGGAATATGCTGCAGTTGAAGGCACTTTGCAAGCTGCTTTAGTAAAAAAAAAAAACCCAAAAAGTGCCGTTTGGAAGTATTTTGCAGACGAGCATGGAAAAGCTAAGGATGTCGATAAGCCTCTATGCAAATGGTGCTACAAAGTTGTGGCGACGAAATCAAGTAGCACGTCAAACCTGGCGAAGCATCTTAAAGACCGACATCCTGGTCTTTATGAGAAATTTCGCGAGGTCAGTAAAGCTTGCGTTCCAGCAACACTGAACTATTAAACACTTATCAAAAATGTTAACTTGGCCGGTGCACACCTTAATATTAGCCGTTTATCTATAAGCAGTTAGCCGACAAACACGTTAGCCGTATGTTATCATTAAGATAGCGGATAGGCGCAATTGGCTAATAATAGCCAAAAATGCAAAAACGTAAAACAAAAATGTGTCCTGTAAAATCCTGTAAAATGTGGTAAACGCCCAGTCATACTTTAAAAAAAAATACCGTCGTATACCGTGAAACCGATATAACTTTGAAAAATACCGTGATATAAATTGTTGGTCATACCGCCCAGCTCTAGTATGTGCAGACTTGTCTCAAATTGAAAATCTCACACCAGCCGACTGACCAGAGCTGGCAACCCTGATCATCCTCTAGGCCGATCCAGGGACAGAAGCCTATACTTGTCATCAGTGATGCCCAAGCATCTGTTACATGTGTCCGCCTTCACCCAAGTGGACAGGTACATGGATGGCAGGAGCCAAGAGGAGTCAAGCACTGGATTCCAATAGTTAGGGTATCTGGAGGCCCAGATACAGTGTGGGCTGCGATTTCCTGGCACGGTTTCGGTCCATGCCACCCCCTGGAGGGCAGAGTAGATGCCAATGAATACAAAAGCATGTAACGTGTATCATGTTCAGCCTCCGGTGAAGGGTTTCTATCCTAATGGGAGTGGACTCTTCTTGGATAACAATGTCCCCATCGCCAGGGCACAAGTGCTCACTGAATGGTTTGATGAGCATAAAAATGACTTAAGCCATATGCCATGACCGTCCCAGTCACTGGACTGGAAACCAGTCAAACACTCATGGGAGACTCTAGAGCAGGCCCTGAAACAGTTGTTTCTACCATCAGCAAAACATTAAATGATGGAATGGAAGAATGATATCCCAGAGACCTAATGACACAGTTACATTCATTGTCTTGGTGTTTCCTTTATTTTACGTTACCTGTTATTCACAACACTTATTCTAATCTTGGAATCCTTGTAAATAAAGTTAAAAAATAAACCTTTTCAAATTAACTTGTTTAAAATTACCAGAAAGCTATATAAAATTATATATGTTTACAGTTCTGAGCAAAAGTCTTAGGCCGTCAAAAGAAAGGTTAAAGGAATTTATCTGGGTAGTAAATGTACTTTTGCTCAGAACTAAGAAACACAGTTTAGTATGCAAATCAATAGTAACGATAAAAACTAGTAAGAATTGTTCCTGTTCACCAAAATTTTCCTGATATCTAGTTGGATGGCTAGATGAACACCGCTTCAGTTCCCAAACCTCTCCTTAGGGGCACTGCAGCCATTCCATGTATTTGTTACATTTCACCTCCAGCTTACTTAATTAATTAATTTAATTAATACTGGGGTGATTTTAACAGGTTTTTGAGATGGATAAGCTGACACACTTTGATGGGCATAACAGCATAGTTTTACACCAACATGAAAATCATTTAAGCATCATTTTCTTTGGCTACCTAAGACTTTTCCGCCATAGGGTATGTGCACTTATTCATTTTTGTATCCACAAAAATGTTCCAATGTATACAACATTAAACAGCTTGATTTCCCTTTACTATGACTTAAATGTATTACAAAAATGTTCAAATCATTTACGTGAGGTTGATCAAATTAAGAGAGACCAAATTAAAAATGTAGCACTGTTAAATATAGTTGAAGTAAATGGGGAAGTAATTTGGGTGCTTCTTTTGGCACAATTAAGGGAATTCTGCTAAATGTGATTTATGTTTGATTATATGCATGTGAGAAACTGGCTCTTAACCTGAGCAAAATTTCTGCAAATCACTATTTGTTAATGTGCACAATTTGAAAAAGCTATTTTTTCCATATAGTCATTCACCAGAATAGAAAAGAAGGATCATTCATTTTAAAATCATTTGAATTTATGCTTGCTTTACCACAAGCAGAGTTATTATGAAATACCAGAAGGCTATTTCATCATAAGGTAGCTTGGTGGGGCGCACTGCCGCCTCTCGCTTCCCTGGGCTGTGTGTTTTTCACTCCTGGTCCTCCTCTTTGTGTGGGGTGTGCCTGTTCCCCAGAGTGCTCCCTATACTCTGTGCTACCCGGCATGGGCAAAAGCCCCCCCATCCCGCCCTGCCCGTGATGCTGTAATGGTTAAGCGGTTAGGAGATGGATAACAGGGATATTTTGTGACTCTGGAGGAGACTTTATTTTTAAGCCTTATGACAAAAAGGAAACATACTTAGAAATTCAAAGTGAACCAGGATCCCTATACTCTCACTGCTTATATTTCTGTCAGTTAAAAGACAGCTTAACCGTAAATACCAAGACACTCGTGTGATGTTCTGCCTCCAGGGATAAGCAGTAGACACCCTGTGACGTAATGAGCCTACATCTGCATGTGTGAATGTTCAGGTCCATTCAGTTCATTTAAGGGGATTCTACGGTTATTTGTCTTCATGATATCGAGCAAACAGCCACAAGGCTCACAATTCAAGCTCACCAAAACCAAGATGGCAGACAGACATTTAATGGATCAGTCTCTATTGACCACAAAAGTACAGCCTCAGAGATTAGAGCTGAACTGAAACCTCTGTGACACAGTCTCAACAAAAAATGATGTTGCTAGCTTCACACAATTGTATCCACGGCACAAATCCGGAAACCTGAGCAATGGAAAAATTAATGAGGTTTGTTGCATTATCTTTCACCCTTTTCCGGACAGCTGTACATGTGGAAAAACCCAAAGGGTGGCTTCAGTCCACAATGTCTGATGGTCAATGCAGTCATCTTGTGGGAGACATTAGGCCCAATGACTACCCTGCATGGTCCTACAATGCCCAAGGAATGAGAGGCGATTTCACAGGAGCAGGTGTACCCTGAGATACAAACAGAGTTTGCTTGTGATATTATAATATTCCAAGATGATAATTCCCTCATAAATACTGCCACACAAATTGAAGAGTGGTTTCATGATCGCCCAGATGAAGTCAAACACCGTGCACAGCCTCCCCAATCACCAGATCTAATCATCACTGAACCTACATGGGTGGTTCTGGAGGGCAGAATGTAAAATAGATTTTTCCTCTATCCTTCAAAGAACTGGTCTGGATTCCATCTTAATGAATGGCCCAATACATGAATTGTACGCACAGTTCAGGATTTGCTTTCCAAGAAGTACTGAAGTGAAGCTGTTCTGAAGGCAAAGAGTTGCCCTACCCACTATTAGGTCTTGGATGTTAATATATTGTTAGGTGTTTTCATTAGTCTGTCAACCCCTCGATCCCCTGGCTTGGGTGTTACTCTTATTATCAAAGAGAAAAAAGTGTAAGTGTATGAGCTGAACTGGACAAAAGGTCATGGGCAATGGATAGATGGCAGTTATACTGGTAATACACTGTTGGTTGTAAAAGTTTGAGACGACATGAGTTCGCCTGTATTATTTTATTAAGGCACCACAGCTGTATTTCCACTGTGACATTGGCCAGCAGTATTCGATTTAATTTGTGTTTCATGTTGTGTTGTAACTGTATATAGGTTTGTACTCCCATGGTGCACCATTCTGGAGCAAAAACGAGACTGATGCACTGGTATTTTCCTAACAAAGACATGGTGGCTGTTTATATTCTGTTACTCTTTGCAATACAGGTATCTCCCACTATCCGAAAGTAGGGCGTTCCTATGAAACCTTTCATAAGCCGAAATGGCATAAAAACGAAGGAGCTATTACCATTAATTTATAGGGGAAAAGATTTGAGCGTTCCCAGATCGAAAAAAAATAACCTACCAAATTATATCAAATAAATATATAAAACACATAATAACACAAACTTATAGTAAAAGAAGGAATGATGTCATACATACACATCCAATATAAAGAAAAATAATGCATCAGTGTAGTTTCACTTACCAGAATCAATAAAGTCATGTGTCGCTTAATGACAAGGATATGTTCTATGGCCTACTACACATCTAGACTATATGGCAATAGCCTAAATAATGATAAAAATACAGTAAATACATAAAGCAGTAATATAGTTGTTTATTATCATTATTGGGTACTATGTACTGTACGTAATTGCATGTGTTATACTGTTATATGACTGGCAGTGCAGCAAGCATCACCACAAACACATAGGTTGTACTATTACGTTAGAAGTGCTTTGCTGTCACTAGGCGATAGGAAACTTTCCGCTCCATTATAAAGTTAATGGAGTTTCATCATATATGGGGTCTGACCGAATGTTGTTTGGTTCTCATAAGTCAAGTATTTCACCATGTTAGTGAGCGTTTTCTTTCTGTGAATGACCTTCCACACATGTGAACGTAAATTGGGCCCTTGAGCAAGGCCCTTAACTCCAAGTGCTCCTGGGACTGACTGACAGTGCTTTCACAATGAACTTGCTTTGGATAAAAGAGTCTGCAAAATAACTAATTGTTAGCAGTAACAGCCACTACTGTCACCATTTTTATGGGTGTTCGGCCTTTGTATTCAAACTCACCTGAGTCTCACGAACATTCTCCACCGTGAAGTTGAACCAGACCCTGAAGCGTGGGTTGCAAGTGTCTGGCCTGATGAACAGGTCAAACTCAAATTCGCTGATGTAATCCACGCGGCCAAGATTACCTGTGGGGGGAGAAGGCACACGGTCAGGGGTGCATTTAACGATGATTAACATGAGCCCAGCAGAATAGAAAGGATCTCCTGCCTCACTGATAGCACTGGCTGCTTACTGACATAAGCCAACAATGCCAAGGAACCTAATTACCCACTGGCTAGCATTTAAATGAAGTTGGTACGCTTTCCAATTTTATGCCAGAAGTTCCATTTTGAGTTCTTCAGTAATCAACATTCAGTGAACATTGTTAGCGGTGATTTAAAAAGCTTCTGAATAACATATTTTGGATAGTTTTTCTTTAGCTAAAATATCACTAGATGGCTAAAAAAGTTGTTCTTTTCATTTCTATATCTATGCCTGTGTTCATAAAATTAAAAAATGAGGAGTCACCTTCGTTGTTATAGGACTTTTCTGTTGTTCCAGCTCAATGACAAAAAAGCTAAATTAATTCTACTATGTACAGCATTATACACACAAGCACAATATGTGTGCAGCGTGTTTAAATAGCGTATTTCTCACGAGACAAAGCCTTCATTCGTAACAGCATGGCAATAACACCGCGGTAGTCCGTTTAAATACATATTAGCAAAGGAGATTCCACCACAGACTGGGAGACAATGACAGAGGTAACAGCACTGCAGAGGAAGGGCCTCAAATTAAAGGACATGTTGATGAGAGCTCTGCTTTTTGTAAATGATCCTCAGATGAGTACGAAGATCGGGAAAAACACACGCCAGGCGGGGCTGTCCAATCATTTGTCATTTTTCTTAACGGATGTTTTGTTTGCCGTATTTAACGAGTCGTTTTAAGCGTTCTGCTCAAGGGGACAAAAGCTGGTTGCTTCCAGCACATCTCACATTCAAACAGCGTCTTAGGACACGGGGATCTGTCAGTTTGCGATCAGCAATGCGATCAGTGTGATGTATCACCCCCATGCCGGACTTCAGCAGGCTAGCCGTCAGCTGTGCTACTTAGGGCATGTTAGCAGTGCCAGTGAACCCACTAGGCAAGACTAGGTAGCCACCTAGGGCATCATCTTCAGACGGGGCACCGGCTTAGCAAGCCGATTTCACTTTGTCTCACACGAGGGGCGCCGACAGTGAAGCTGACCCAGAGAACCGCATGGCTTTGACTAGCGATGCGTGTTGGCCTGTTTTGTTTGTGAACTTGAGCTATGTTTTGGTTTGGTAATTCTGAAACAGATGCAGAGAAACTGTACCCCCAATTTTGTAAACTACTAAAGAATACTTTACGGCTTAACACTCTAAACTGTATTATATTCAAGAGGAACATTCTGGTAAATCAGGTGCTGTCGTCCCGGATTTTGGAGTACATGGTACTTCTCAGTCTGTTCATCTTGCCAGCTGTCTGCCACAGCCAGAGCAGCTAGTACTGGTAGACAGGCTTCCCCTCGTCCAAAAGTCTGAATAAACACAGTGAAATGGAGGAACAGCAGTTACACAAACGGGACAGGGGGTTCCCTGGGACGCCGGGGCAATCAGCAAAGCGAAACAATGCGGTCTAGCATACAGAGCCACCATGGGTGTGGGGGCGTAACAAAAACGTGACATGGGCAGCAATGCATAAGAAGCTTCTAGAGTCGCTCTGCTCAGCACGGAGGCAGCACGAGTGCTCCTGTGATGACTTGAGTATGACACTGCTTCTCTGGAGCAGCGTGACAGAAGGCCTCGGAAGACAACACAGCACTGAAAAACAAACCATTTTTGAAACGCTTTCTTAAAAAACCACCAGATTCTGGAGGGGAAAACAGATAAAAAAAAAAATATATGGATAAAACTGTTTAATGTAAACACTGCGGTATTGGCCAGCACTTCTCGGCACCCTGCGACGTTAATGGCCCAGGGGAAAAAGACCCCCCAGGGCCCCCCCTCCCCCAGTCAGACCATGTGGTGGGGAAGGAGTGTGGGACCAGCCAGCAGGTGCCAGGTAACACAGAGCTAATTACTGACAGATGGGGTAACTACCACACTGTCAGAGCAGATAGCTCTCCTTATGTCATCAGAAATAGCTAATCCATCGACTTCCCGAGTACCCTTTCCTCCGCCAGATTAACTCTAGCGGGACTAACAGTCTGTATGCGCCTGGAGCGCATATCGGTGCAAAAGAAACAATCGCATTCTAAATACAAAAACAGGAAGCTTCCTTGACAGTCACAGAATAAATAAATCCTTTTTATGACTGCCGTTAAGAAAGCTAGCTAATAACAGATGATCTTTCCGAAAGCGGCAAAGTATCACTGGTCAGCTCTGTAATCCAAACCATAACATTTTCAACTTTACACATTTAGATTCCAAACTACAGAATGTAAATTATATTTTGTGCTCAAATTGTTATTTGCACTGCAACATCAGATAAAAGCCAAAAGCTAGACGTTTACAAGTCCAAAGGATTTAATATATTTTTTTAAATGACTGAACAGAAAACCATAAATTAACTGCGTAAGAACAAAATATGCAAAACTAGTAAGTGGACAAAATAGGTAAGCACGAAAAGTACTAAATCAGAATTGTATTTATTTCTTTTGTTATTAATGCATGTTAAGCATTTATAAGGAAATGTAACCTAAGCTACTTCTCCAATAGAGGTTTCCAACTTGAGTTATGAGTGTATAAGTATGGATATTTTGTTTTTTAGCAGCCTAAATGTTCTTTAAATGTCTCAAATTGCATTATTTAAATGAAAATGTAATTTAATTTATTCTTTTGTTTCCATTAAAATCAGAAATTAATCATGATTTTAAAAGGACAAAAAGCTGTCTTTACATATTTTTTGTTCCCTTTTAAACACTGTTTTCCTGTGTTTTCCATGACTGGTTCTCTAATCCGAGGCTGTGGTAGCCTGGATCCCAGCACAGGCAGCTGAGGGTCTGGAGCACTCTGGGTAGGCCTCCCAACCCATCACAGCACGCCCTCCCACACCATTAAGAGAGACAAATTCACTTAAAGTGCATGTTCTGCACAGAGGGAGGAAACCGGAAATCCCCAGGCGAAATGCCCATGACCTTGGGAGAGAGACACACACTCCACACACAGGGCTGGGACACCACATCGCCTTATACGGACGCAAAGCGTATCAATATATCATCATTAGGAGAATGTTTCCTGAAACAGGAGGAAAATAATGAAGAAGAAAAATCATTTGCATGTAAAAGATTCACACCTTACCTTACCATATGTGTGTGTGTGTGGTTTCATTAAGGATTACATATATAAATGCACCAGAAACTGAGTACAGGGCCTTCTTCTGCACATAGGCTTTTAAAACATGAATTAGTGGAAACAAGCACAGCTGTGAGTAGGACGGGCTAAAAATGTGATCCACACCTGTTCCAAGCAGATGTGTTTTGTGATCCATCAACTTGAATATCTCTGTGTTTAATGGGGATATTTACAGTAATAGGTTTAACAGCACACAGAATATGAACACACACTGATGAAGCCCTTTAACAACATGCAATGCATGTCGAAAGCTTGAAATGTTTCTCTGTGGCTTGTTGGAAAGAGATGGTTAAACTCATTTCTATATGAGAGAATAATTCTGAAAATTATGGTTCACAAAACATTAGCACCTGTTATTGTTCCAAGAGTAAAACCGTTGAGCCAATAATATACTATTAATCACATGGGGACTTCAGACATTAATTGTATACGTGTAGCACATATACAATAGATCCATGTTACAGTACATTTGTTATTGTTTTCTGCTGTTCACTGCATTAAAATATAAAAGAGAGACCCTTGCCCCATAGCACATTTACGATATGGAGAGGTGCAGTCACCTGAACATTAAAAGGTAACTGGCCAGCTGGCTGCAACAGCCATTCATGGAGCATCTAACATGGCTCCTCTAATGTCCATGACTGTGTTAATGGAGGCTGCATCATCTGAGGTTGCACACTTTCAGTTTCATTTTGAAAAATCTTACAAACAGTTTAGTGAGGTGTACTTGGTGATATGTTACCAAATCTGTGCTAGCAGATATGTGCACAAGAAGTACTCCTTCAAGCAGAGGGTTTCTTCTACCAAGAGTTAAGAATTTACCCAAATTGTGTTCTTTATATCCCTTTACTATACATTTATTTACTGAAACAATGGATGGTCATGTGTTGAAATACAGAAAGAGGGAGAATGTTCCTTGGCTTGGGGTTTCAGGGGTGGCGCAGACCCCCGGCGTGCGAGGGCATGGGGTGTGAGAGGCGGGGTGAGTAGCCCCCCTCGCCGGCCCGCGAGGCCCCATGCGCTGTTGCCGGCTCCCCGTGAAAATAATGACTTCCATCGGCTTTTGAGGCATCGTCCTGTGTCTGCATGAACAGTGCCATTTGTCTCCTCTGCCAAACGCCGCCGTGCCCATATCACAAAGAAATTGCTCTGTCCTCTCCCAGGAATGTCTGTTATGCAACAGTCATGCTCCTTGCTGGCCGGCGCGAAACCTTGCACATATCACCATTCATTTTGTTGATTTATTTATTTATGATGAAATAATGAGATATAATTGCCTACTGTGTATTTTGTGGTGAGTCAACTCCTTACTGTAGCTCTTAGTAGTTTAGGCTACAGGCCACCTGGATGTGCTTAGCATGGCCAAGAGGGGGCAGCACCCAGAGGGCCAGGAGCACGAGAACCTGGACAGGAAACTACCGCCTCCAAGTGCCAACAACAGTGGAGAGAGGAGGAAGAGGCAAAGGAGAGGAAGAGGACGGAGACACACATGGCGCCAAGTCACCAGCCTCACTCCCTAAACTATCTGCTCCTAATAATAATGGGGAAGAGAAATAGAAACTTGTAAAATATTCATTTTAGAGAAAATTATATAAGACTGTATCAAGCAGAAGGTTCATTTGAGTACAGGAGCAGTAGATACAAAATCATTTTGACAGTGCATTCTGTAAATGAAATTAATATGTCTCTCAAAACTTAGGTACCTCTGGCTGCAAGAGAAGTTTAAAAATGTAACTGGAAAGTAGATAATGTGAAAGTAGATGGTAATC